ATATATATATATATATATATATATATATATATAAGTGGAAATCGAACACTTAATGCTGTAGGGATTAGTGATTATTGCGTAACAATTCGATTTGTGTGTAGGTATGAGTGCTCATGCCCACAGCGACTCAAATCTAACTTTCGCTATTTGCAGCCACAAAATGACAGACAATTTCTGCAAATTACCAGAGGCGATAGCATGAACTTCTCCTACTCTGTTTTTTATAATGCAGCTCTCGTAGCTACACACACACGTTAGTTAAATAATAAGAAGCTAAAGATCAACAAATGACAACGTTTCGGTATCACCAAACACGTGCGCAGAATTTTATTACCAAAATGACTTATAACTGTAGAAACTCAAACATGTCAAGTTGTTGATCCTTTTTGACGTCATCCACGTGCTTTAATAAATGCCAATTTATGCTATACATATAACACTAGATGTCGCAAGCTTTATAAAAATAATTTATTAATCGCCTGAACTGTTAACGAAAGCCCTTTTAACAGTTTCCATCTTAGAATAAAATCACCTTTTTAAAACGAAGTGTCGCACAAACAAGCTAGGTAACATTTTACGTGTGTTTCAAACAAGCTGGGTAACATTTTACGTGTGTTTATACCTGCTAATTAGAAATATACCGAACCACTACTTTTTTTGAGCGAAGAACAGAAACCTTTTTGTTTCCACTCCATGGCTATAAATGTTGGGCGTATTTCTATATCTTGTGTGTGCAACTTTGTTTTGATATACTTATTGTATTTAAACAAACCTTGCACCAAATCATTAGACATGCTATTGTATTATTCTTTAGATGCAAAGATTAACATAACGGTGTAGTGTTTAAAGCCATTATACACAACTGGCACAATATAAATTTGGGTATAAATGTAGAGATTGTGGAAGAACTGGTATACAATCTGTAGTTTTACCAAAACAAATGCGGAAAACAGAATAACTGTAGATGGCGCTTCACAGTGATGTTGAAACTTAACCATATTTGCTTGTCACTTAAGCTTACAAAGAACTGCAGTTAAAATTGGGACTTGATTCTTCATGCTATTCAATGTTAACACTTGAGCAAACACTTATGAGACATCCAGAATTACATGGTGTTTGTGTAGCTTCGTACTGATGTCCCCGTGTCTTTCATCGTCTGGAATATGTTGTTGAAATGGACGGAGGACACACTGATCGTATGATGTGACTTTCAGTGATTCTACTGTATTCTTAAATTAAAATGTACTGTGATTCAAGGTGACGTTGCTGGGAATCAAACTTCTTTGTTTTGTTTGCTCATATAGTTTCACAATGTTGCCTAATGAAACTTTATTCCGGGTAATTTTATTTATTTATCATCTCTATGTACAACAAATGGATATTGTACCGCATTACGCATATATATAGGTTTAAGTGTGCCTAACATGTATGTTAAAAGAGCTGCTTATCGTGTATTGTGATAGTAGTTTTTAAATGAATATGAACATTTTAATGTACATATTTTCATGTATATATATATATATATATATATATATATAAATCATTATTTGCAAAAAGTTTGTGTCTGTTTCCTCTTTATAACTAGCGGCCCGCTGGACCAATTATCACGAAACCTAACATCAGCCTTAAACCCCAAGGGGGCGACATTGGGGGTCGGTGTTTGTATCTGTCCCCTTCCCTTATGTCTTCCCCGTTCGTTTAATGGTTACGTCAGCTAATATCTATCTGTGTGTGCGCCACCCCCATCTCTCTGGTGCCTCAGCTTATAATGTGCAACTTTGCGAGACTGACGGTGGCCTATTGGTTAGCATGTTCGGACTGTAAATACGAGGGTCCATGGTTCGCGTTCCACTGCCGTAAAAACTGGCTCTGTACTTCAAGGATGTGGGTGCGCCATAAAAGTGACGATCAATCTCACTACTTGGTCAGGCAAGAGTTGGAGGTGGGTGCTGCCTTTCCTGTAGTCGATCAGCTAAAAAATAGGGGCGGTTATGCGCGGAGTTAGCCCTTTGTGAACGTTTGGGCGAAAATTCTGAAACAAACAAGCAAACGGTTAATCCAAACAATATATGTTTGGATGAGTACGTGTATGTCGATGTGCATATGTACACTTAATATGTACAAGATCTAAGAAAGAATAATTTTTATTACAACAGTCAATCATGACCATTGAAAAAAGTGTAAATCTTCTGCTTGTTTAACAACCTTTTCACCCTAGTTGATAAGAACTTCAAATTAGAGGTAAGTAAACTAGGTAAATCAAAAAGTTATAATTATTTAACTAATGAAACCAATCATATACGACGAAGTGACTGGAAGAACGTAGTGTCCTGAATCAATAAAAAAAAACTAAACGTATAATGATTACGTTGCATTGCATCACCAGTTGGATGTCCCTGTTCCTAACGGTATTTTTGACCGTAAAAGCTAAAGAGTAGTTTAAATACTTCGAAAGTACCACTTAGAGGCCATAGCCAGATTCCCTGGGCCTAGGTCCATGTCCTAAGGGGACCCCAAAAAGAAATCGCAGTCTTGTATGATTATCCTCACCAAAAATGCTTTTAATCGAGTTTCATATTTGAACTGAGTTTGGCAACAATAAAATTCTAGATATTAATAAAAATTATAATATTTATAGTTTTTTATATTGTAATTATGTTTTATTATTTTGATTACACTTAAATTACTAATTTTTTTTATTTATTTAATCATTTCGGTGAAAAATTTAACAAAACTCCCCTGTTCAAGAATGCACGGGCTTAGAGCGCTGCATTTTTTTATTTTGCTGATTAACATTTACTTCATTGTTTCTATTAGTTTCAACACATAGATTTTCACATAAGAGTTTTGTTGTGGTCGTTAGTAAATATCGTAATTTAAAAAAATATATGATGGGTTTTGGAGCCCAATTTTGGGTAATGGAGCACTGTTAGTCTGAATCTTATTGTGAATACTTCGAAAATTCCTTTTCTCATTAAGAAATGTTCATCCCAGGAATATAAATGCTTTAGAAGTGCTATGAAGCTTAAGAAAATGCCAAGCCTATGCTATGAAACTGAATTAAATCGGAAGACGCCAAATGTCTTTTTATAATATAGCATGATCATGGCGCAAAGATCTTCTCCTTAACCCAAGAAAGATACTCTTTCTTTTAAACTCATGAGACTTTGTGTAGTGGAGAAACTTACGTGATAACGTGTAGATATTGTAAATGTGTGAAATGTCCGACTTACGCGATAACGTATAGATATTGTAAATGTGTGAAATGTCCGACTTGCGTGATAACGTGTAGATATTGTAAATGTTTGAAATGTCCGAATTACGTGATAACGTGTAGATATTGTAAATGTGTGATATGTCCGACTGATTCGGCGATCTTGAAAGTGACCACTGATTCGACGATCTTGCAAATACAGCTTAAACGTGAAGAAAGTTTTGTTTCGTTTTCTCTTATAATGGGGGTGGGGGTCGCTATGACTCGCCTTCTGTATCATACAACCAAAAGGA